TAACAATATTTCCCTATTTACCAATATTTATTATTTTACCAATACCAATATTTACTATTTACTACAATAACAATATTTCCCTTTTACTATCATACATTTTATATCAGATTCTGCATAACATTTTCTTGATCACTTTATAAGTCATCTATACATTACAAAAATATTAATCTAGTCAATTAGTTATAGCAACTGATAAATCTTTCCATAATAATTCTCATATTTTTATGCATCGCTGAACATCATTTAATATATAATATTCTTATTATAAATTCCCATTTCCATATTTATTTCATTAAGTTCCATATCTAACGTAGCAATAATCCTTCAGTAAAAAAGAAGGAAAAAAGAGGTAAAGAAAAAACAATTATCAGTTACAATCTTATCTATTTTCAATACTTATATATCACAACATATTACCTTGTAAAATCATTCCCTATTCTTTTTTTTTTACCCATTATCTCTCACTCTCCTAACAATGTAATTCCTTTTCATTCTTGTTTGCTTCCTGTTTCTCTTTATGTTCTGGTACTTTCTCTTAATTCCCTTTTTTCCCATTATTATTCCCCTCTATTTCTCATTCCATTTATTTAATTTATCTATCTCTCTCCCTGTCTTGGTCTTCCTTTTGCATTTCTCTTTTCTGCTTTTTCCCTTTCCTTTTTTTCATTTTCTGAACCATTCCCCCTTTCATTATCACATCAAACCACAGATTTTTAATTTTAATTCCTTTCCCCCCCTGCTTAAATGATTGTTGTTCCGCTTGATCGTCTAAGTTGGCTTCCTCTTTGTTTGACTCCTCTCCCTCTGGTTCTCTTTGCTCTTCTGCAAGCTGAGTCACCATTTCTAGTTTCTGTAATAAATTGTTACACATTTCCAGTTTCATTTTCATCATTTCCTTTATATCTTGCAAATCCAATCTTATTTCAACAAATAATTCCCCCATTGTGTCTGTTCCTTATTTCTTTTTTCCCCCCTCTTCCTTGATAAATGTATCCAATCCAAAAGTCCAGTATATTATTTCAGCCAGTGTCTTTTAAATTTTTTTCAACAATCAATGCCCATAAATATTTGTTCTTCTGATTGGTCCTTTCTCAGCTATTTCCCAAAGTCACCGGGTGGTTCTAGAACGATGTTTTCAAATATCTTCCCCCTTATAGTATTCTGATATCACTTTCCAAGGTTTTTATTTTATTATAATGGAGTTTCTTTTATTTTCTCTTAAATTCCAAAGTCCATTTTATTAGAAAGACCAAGCACTTTTCAAAAAGTCACTGAAATGTTTCCTGTACCAATCAGGTGGCATTCTTGGTTCTTTTCCACAATCCATTCTTTTTTTTACTCTTGCTTTCTTTTTTTTTTAAAAAATACAATACTTTTATTAAATTCACTAATTTCAATTATTAGCTGTTATTTCTTTTCAACACATTCAATTCCAGCATTTATTTATGCCTTTTTAGTGCCAAAAATCCAATAGTTATCCTATTTAATTTCCATGCCTTTTGTAATCAGATATTTTCCTCTAAATTTTCTCCTCCAAATTAATCTGTTATAATGATTCAAGCCAATTTTATAAGATACAATTTCCTTCTCACTCTCTCTGGTCGCTGCCTCTACACACTTTTCTCAAAGATAGTCCTTTATTCCTTGATATAGGGTACCTTAAAGGGTACCTTAAAGTCCATGTATTTTGCCTGGTTCACAATCTGCTTGCTGCTTCTCTGCTCCAGCATCATCTTAGTTTCCCGGACTGCTCTTCGTCTTCGTGATGGCCATTTTAGACCACCACTGCAACTTGCCTTTGGAAGGGTTTTTCCTTGTCAGGGAGGGGAGTTGCAATTCCCCTCAACCCTCCAAGTGATTCCTCCTTTCTTCACCACCCATCCAGGGTGGTTCTGGTCCCAATCGGGACCCTCCAACGTGAGCTCAAAGCGAAACCACGCATGATCATGGATTCCACTCCGACATCAACGACGAGCAACCAGAAGTCCGGTTTTAATGTCTGATTTTAACTTTGTATGTTTTAACTGTATATGTAACTGTAAGCTGCCCAGAGATTCCCTATAGTAAGATGGGTGGCCAATAAATCAATATAATCAATAAGTATTGATTAGCAATGATGTCAAGATAGATTAAAGAGAAGTACCTGGATATCTTCTCTAATGAACAAACTGGTCAACAGCATGGACAAACCTGGCACCACACAACTCTGAGCTATTAATCCAAGCTTGAGTTCAGCAAAGCAGATGATACTATCACCTTTTCTCCAATCCCATCCAGGCAGTTTTGGCAAGTAAACCTAATTTAGGAGGAAATAGAGAGCAACATAAACAATAACAAACAAACAAACAAACCAGCAGAATCATACATTTGGAATGTCACCAGCAGGGAAAAAGCCATAGTCCAAGAGTGTCATTGTTAGCAAGACTAAAGTATTATGATTGATTATATTTAGTTTGAATTCATTCACTCTCTTTCATAAATTATATATAATAGTATAATATTATATTTGTGAAACATTGTGCCAAGGTTCTGAAACAACTAGTTTTTTTATTATAAAAATTAGATTGGATTTCTAAATCACTCAGCATCATGAACCTGTCTAAAGTTTAACAAAGACTTGGAAAACATGTAATGTTTCATCATTCATAAACACCATTGGTGTCAGCAAGAGGTGAGGGTAGCAATAAGGATAAAGGATAACAAAATAACAGAGTTGGAAGGGACAATGGAGGTCTTCTAATGCAATGTCCTGCCCAAGCAGAAAATGCTACACCATTTCAGATAAATGGTTGTCTAATCTCTTCTTAAAAATCTCCAGTGATGGTGCACCCACAACTTCTGGATGTGGAGGAAACTTATTCCCCTGATTAATTGATCTAACTGCCAGTAAATTTTTCCTTAATTTTAGGTTGACTCTATCCTTGATTAGTTTTCATCCATTGCTTCTTGTTCTGCCTTCAGGTGTTTTGGAAAACAGCTTGACTCCCTGCTCTTTGCAGCAGCCCCTTCTTCTTTGTGGGACTTCTGATACAAAGCTTGTATAATTGAATTGAATTTGAATTTTTAAGTGGTTGCATCAATAAATGTGCCTCAGACTTCCCTTTTTGCCTAGTAGTTCTCCTTACAATTTCCAGCCAATTCTCCACTGCTGTCAGTTGTACTGATTATCAGTTGTCTTCCAGTTGCAATTTAAGGTGCCAGTTATTATCTTTAAAGTCCAAGACTGCATAGGTTTAGATATCACATATTTTCATTCATTTCTGTAGAGTAAATATCCTCCAGGTCAAACAATGTCATCTTGCAGAATCCTGGAGCTGTGCCTGCTTGGTTGTAGGCCCTGCTTTCCAGATTTAAAATCCACCCCAGAGATTCATGCAGCTCACACCCTTATGACATTCTAGTTGTGCCAAAAATTGTGCGAGCACTTGCCCAGAAGGCAATGCCCCCCTGCCCCTATGCATGCACATGCAATTCCCCCCGCTGCAGCCCCTTTACCTGCACTGTGCTTCCCAGCTAATTTTCAGCCCATTTTTGGCCTCCCAGAGACTTGAGGAAAGCTTCTGAGGCTTTGCAGGCCAAAAAATGGGCCCGTTTTATCACTTCCGGTATTTCTGGAAATTCAGAAAGTGATGAAACGGGCCTATTTTTTGGCCTGCAAAGGCTTTCCTCAAGCCTCTGGGAGGCCGAAAAAGGCCTCAAACAGGCTGAAAATCAGCTGTGAGGTGTGCGCATGAGCAGTGAGGTGAATTTGCCTGTGGCTTGCATGCCAGCACAAATGGCTCTGCGTGCCACGTGTGGCACGTGTGCCATAGGTTCGCCATCACAATTCTAGTTGTTTACCCAGGCCTTGTGTAGACCCTTTTAATTAGTTACTTAATTTTCTTTAACTGAAGACTTGGCAACTGTCTTTTTTCTTTTTATATTTTGGAAACTGCCCAATGTCATTGTGGAGTTGAGTGATATTGGATTTTAAAGGAATAAATATTAGAACTATGGAAGGAGATGAGATATTTTTGCTTTAGAATCTCTGCTGCTGGGAGGCTTGACTGTAGGGATGGCTAAATTAATTCTACAAGATAGAAAAAAGGTTTTGCTTGGAAAATCTCAGTGGGTGAAGTATGAGCTCCCAAATTCATAATGAGCTGCTGTATAAAACCAGGGCTACCTCAAAAATATAAGAAGAAAGAAAGAAGGGAAAAAACCCAACCTTGTTAGAAGACTGGATGATTTGTATTATAACTCTGGTGTTTGGAAAATGATTTTTGATAGACAGTACCCTGCATGAAAAACAAAACTGTTGTTAGTGTATATTGTGGATAGGGGTGTGCCAGAGTATTAACAGTAAATAATATTAGCTAAACTAAATGGAGTAAGAATAAATTTGCCACCAGCTTAACTGATGAAGAACAGCATCAAAAACTTCACATTGGATTAGCTATGGACAGACATCTATCTTTCATAGACAACTGAGCCCTAGTTTCCAGTCTTTAAATTGTGCCACTTAAAATTGCAATGCTCAGGTCAGAAAACGCTTCTCCATATTTACTGATTAACAGAGAGGAAAAAAATTAGAAAACCAGCATGTTGATGAATGAAAGCGTCAAATAATACAGTTTGTTCTGGATCCCACGAGAAGAAAATGATGTCTAACAATATAAAATTATTACATTTTTACTTCCTTTTTCAGCGATTAGACAAATATCTTCATGGTTTGTATGCACTCTCACTCATATTCTCTGTTACTGATATACTTTTATACAAATAGTGTATAATGAGGTGCAATGAAAGTTATAGTTGGGCAACATTTGCAGAACCATTAAGAACATGACAAGACTTATGAAATCATCTAGAAGCAGGCAAACCACCTTGCCAGTTTTGATATTTTAAAATTTGGTAACAGGGTATTGGGGGTTATCCTAATTAAATAAAGGAATACAGCTGTTTAAATCCTACCTTACCTCATGACATTGGAAATATCCTCTGTATAAGGATCAATAGAACATATATCAGCTAAAATGAGGCATGCTTCAGCATTACCCATCTGTGTTTCAGAGAGAAAGGAGAGAGGAGAAAATACTGGAATATTATGCCTATGTAATTAATAGTCTTATTAATTGTACTATCTATAATTATATTACATGCCTATGGCTGTGCTGGTTGACCTGGGGACCAAATTGGGGGTAGTGGTTTCCAAACTGGAAGTAGCAGTGAGATTGATGTCAGATTCTACCTCCCCAACTTGCTTTCTGTTCTCCATCCGTCCATCTTTTTTGTTATCATACTGATGTATTTATTCTTGCTGTGTTCCTTTGCCATTGTTTACTGTACTATTATTTACTTCTGTTCTGTTCATATGTCTTTTAATTTTTCTTCCTTTTTATTATTGTAACCTGCCTAGAGTAACCCCATGATGAGATAGGTGGCAAATAAATTTAATAAACAAACAAACAAAGTGAATTTTCCAAAAAACCTAAATGTCAGAGTCCCAAGAAATACACCTATTGCAAACAGAACTCAAAGGGAGATCGATTCCTCAAAGAACAGTTTCATTTGGAGATATCATCTTAGCATAGACTGGTGGAAAACTAACTCTGAGAGTTCCCATGTTTTCCACCTCATTAAAAAGTGAAAGTTTCCTATTCTCCCAAACAATGTTCCATTGTACAATCTGGGTGCTGGCTGGTTTCCTGGTTGCTTTTCTCCTCCTCTCGCTAGCCAGCTGTTGGAATGTCCTTGGCTCATAAGTAAACTATTTTGTTTTGGCTACAAAACCTGTTATCTCCCTGCCCCTCAGTTCCTGGCTATGACAAGCCTGAAGCCATGTGAAGAAAAATCCTTATAGAGAAACTACAGAAAAGAAAATGGCCACAGCCAGGTCAGTTTCAGGATTGACACTAAATAGAATTGCAACTCATGCTAAGCAGATTCTCGTATTTTTTCATGCTTGCTTTTATTTCATTTGCTGGAAAAAGAATTCTTCCCAATAACTATGTTTATGATGGAGCTACAGTGTTCTTCTTCTCTGAATTACAAGGTGGTCAGAAGTGTGTGTCAATGTCTTGTCCCTTTTTATATAACCCCAATACTTCACCTGGCATCTTCCCTGGCTTCCAAGACTTTGAAAGCAAAGAGAAGATATTCAGCAGGAATTCTTTCTGTCCAGCCACTCTTTCTTTCATCACCATAAATCTGGTGGAGGATTTCACCATAATCCAAAGGTTATATATGACAGCTGTAACCATATTCTCAATTTTGCAGAAATATATTTACAGAGCTATAAAGCATGATCTGCTTAACAATGATCTGTCAAATAAGCTTCAGTTGACTAAGAAATTGCCAAAATCAAATTTTCATTTGTAATTTCACAGCAGGTGCAAATTTTTAAATGCAGGGAAAGTAATCATATTAATGTAATCAGTTTAATTTTAATTTAATTTAAACTACATCAAATTTAGTCCATGGTATTCCTATCCATTTTTACCCCCCCCCCCCCCCCCATTGTGGAGCAAACTCTCAAAGGCTAAAGGTGATCTGTACTTTCTCCTTCCCCTCACCTGAAAGTTGCACATAACATAAATCAAGGTCCTTCTTGACCTTGGCAACTTTTAGTTGTGTGGATTTCAACTCCCAGGATTCCCCAGTCAACTATCCTGGCTGGAGAACTCTGGAAGCTGACGTCTGCACATCTAAAATCTGCTGAGGTTGAGAAACTCTGCCATAAATGGTCCCAAAGGTGCTTTTTCAAGAGGCGACTGGGTGTTCTGATTTTTCTTTGAAGACATTTTGCTTCTCATCCAATAAGTTTCTTCAGCTTCTTGGATGAGAAGTGGAACATCTTCAAAGAAAAAAACAGAAAGTCCAGTTGCCTCTTGAAAAAGCACCTTTGAGACAACCATGACCTGGATGACTGAGAATCTCCAAAGACATTCTGCAATAAATTACAAGCCATCGTTACATAGTAAGCAAGTTTTGGTCACCATGTTAAGAAACAGTCAAAAGAATGTGATAGTTGACTTTGCAATTAACATCCATTGTGCATTATTAGTACATCTGTCAGATATATTTAGTGAAGAATAAAGTGACAGGTTCTGTCACTCCATGTGCAAAGTCTTAATAATAAGATCAATGTTTCTTTCATGATTAAACTGGAAGAATAATCTTCTCTAGCATCTTACTGCAGAAGCCAGTTTTAGGGATTACAGGATACACGGGCACACCACAACTTCAACACATATGTCTGACATCTAATCATCTATCATCTATCGTAACTGGCTGACAAACTGTACTCAACAAGTAGTCCTTAATGGGTCTATGTCTACATGGAAGGAAGGAAGCAGTGAGGTACCACAAGGTTCCCTTAGGCCCAATACTCTTCAATATCTTCATAAATGACTTAGATGAGGGAATAAAAGAAGAATTTATCAAATTTGTGGATGATACTAAAGCTGGCAAGAATAGCTAACACTCTAGATGATAGGCCCAAGATCCAGATTGATCTTGACAGACTTGAACACTGGGCCCTATCTAACAAAATTAAATTCAATGTAGAGAAAAATAAAGTCCTACACTTAGGCAAGAAAAACCAAAAGTACACATATAGACTGGGTGAAACCAGGCTTAATAGCAGTAATGGTGACAGGGATCTTGGAGTCTTAGTGGACAACCAGTTAAATATGAGCCAGCAGTGTGCAGTGGCAGCCAAAAAAGGCAATGCAATCCTAAATTGCATTAACAGAGTGATACAATCAAGATCAAGTGAGGTACTAATACCACTATTCTAGAAAAAGTGCAGAGAAGAGCAACCAGGATGATTAGGGGACTGGAGACCAAAACATATGAAGAACTGTTACAGGAACTGGGCATGGCTAGTCTAGTGAAGAAAAGGACAAGGGGAGACATGATAGTAGTGTTCCAATATTTGAGGGGCTGCCACAGAGAGGAAAGGGCCAGGCTATTTTCCAAGGCACCCAAAGGCCAGACAAGGAATAATGGATGGAAATTGATCAAGGAGAGATTCAAACTAGAAATAAGGAGAAATGTCCTGGCAGTGAGAACAATCAACCAATGGGGAAAACTTGCATTCAGAAGTTGTGGGAGCTTCATTATTGGAGGCTTTCCAGAAGAGACTGGACTGCCATCTGTCAGAAATGGTGTAGGGTCTCCTGCTTGGGTGGAGAATTGGACTAGATGACCTACAAGGTGCCTTCCAACTCTGTAATCTGTAATCCCAGTCTGTCTAATGTTTATACAGGATTGTAATGTACCATCAAATGCTATCCTTACCTTAACTCTCTGAAGATCCTTACTATTTATGATAGAACCACAGAAAAAACTGGTATATGCAGCATAACATCTGAATATAGTTTCTAGTTCCAGAGAGGGAGGATTTCTATATTTGGAGAGAGAAGAAAAACAACTATTAATTCTTGAGAAAATAATTATTCTTCCTTATAGCTAGCTACCTATGGGAGTTACAGACCTTGCATATATGTTCAATGACTACTTGAGTCATGCAGTCTTAGATTTATTGTTGTGGTCTAACTCTATTTAATCCTGCTATTTCAAAGCACTCTGCCCTATGAGTAAATCAGTTTCAGTTTCCAAAAACGTGGAAATGATGTAAAACAATGTCCTGTGGCTTTGTTGGCTGTATGTTTGACAACACTCTGCTTCTGTATACTAACACAAATGTGTAGGGCTCCTTCATACAGCCAACTCTCTGTGGCCAACCTGACATAGGACAATTTATCACAGGACAAGTATTAAATTAATATCAAAGAAATGGTGGAATAGTCATTAAAGAAAGGATGCAAAAGGGGGAGTGAAAAGAAATGTGCATGATGAAAATTAAAATATTTTAAAAATTATTTTAAATTATTAAATTGAATTGTTGAATTGTCCCATGGTGAGTTGGCCATGGCAAGTTGGCCACATAGAGTTGTCCCATTCTGCAGTCTGGAAATATCCAAATAAGACAAGCTCTTTCCTGATGACTTTCTTTGGATATAACTGAAGTATAGGAAGCCAGGGAAGGTAATACAGATTGCTGGAAAGAAGATGAACAGTGAAAGAAGCAGACATCCATTGGTCACCTTAGAACTTTCCTGTCTGTGAGGATTTTGTCAAAAATTATCTTCTTTATTATTAAAATCAAAGTCTCTTTTGTCAAATAGAATGAGAATAGTAGGGAACAAATAGAGAAATGCAGGGCTTTTCTTTTCTTTACTCTGCAGAGTGGGTTTATCCACAAACATTTTTGTTGCATTTTCCTGGTTTAGAGAAGGAATTGCCGATATTATAGGGCTTAGATAGAGTAGCACTGTAATACTTACTCTCCCAGAAAGACTATCTCACTGGCAATGTTTCCTTTGTGCTGAGTTAGGAAGTCACTTAAGAAAGCAGTCACACTGCTCAGAGTGATATTGCCACAAACAACAATAAACCTATAGAAAGAAGAGAAATTCGCAGCTCACGGTCTTGTTTTCAAGAAGCAAGACAAGAATTGGCATCTCACTCATAAGACAGTGATTTTATTCAACAGTGATTTTTTGTTATTTTCCAAACTACTCTGAGATAAAGTATGCTATAGAAATAAAAATAAACAAAACAGCAAGTTGACTGTGAGAAGTGCAACCAGTGAATCAGGGAAAGTGCCTCTAGTGTATTAATATCTGAAACTGACATGTCATTTTTTTATTTGGCTAGGCCAAATAAACACTGCCTGTTGTTGTTGTTGTTTTAAATGGTGTGTGCTTTTTCAGGGAGGTCAAACCGCTTTTGGAATAAAAAAAAACTTTTAAGTTTTAAAGTGAAGGCTTTACAATTTAAGTGGGTTGGCCTTTAAGGAAAACTAAGAAAGAGGACCAAACTAGGTCTTACGGTTTCCATGATGATAATATTGAGAAGAAATCACTCAATAAAATGGTTATATGCTAACCATGCCCCCAGGTGATTTATAACATTCATATCATGAATGAGAGAGATGTCAGAATGGTACCTGTCATTTTATTCCTATAGTTTAGGATTGTCCTGTGATCCCTGAATGCCTCATGCTTATAATGCAAACAATATATTTTGGGAAGAAAAAGAACTGACCTCAAGAAAGGTTGATACTTGTAAATATGTGCTAGGGGGAGAAGATAAAGACCTTCCTTGTTCCAATGCATAACAATGCAGCAATTAAAACTGGAATTCCAGTATAAACTAAACTAAATCCCAAGAGGTCAAGGTTGACTCAACTTTCCATCCTTCTGAAGTAGGTAAAATGATGACCTACTGAAGTAGGTAAAATGTTGGGATCATCATTGTCTTAATGATGCTGGAGATGATCTCAGTTTCAGTGGTTCAAGTCCCAAGCACTGCATAACAAGGTGAGCTTCTGTTACTTGCCTTAGCTTCTGTCCACCTAACAGTTCAAAAGCATATTCATTTCAGGAGGGAGATGAGCTGGTGCTCCATGCAGGCAGTTAGATTCCTGACAGCTCTGAACCTTCCCATTTGCAGTGCCCATTTGCGAGGCAACTCTAGGTAGGGAGGGGGCCCCTGGGTGATGCTACAGGAAGAGACAGATGAGTATCTGTCTCTCTGGTGTGAAGCTAGCTCACCCCCCTGTTACCTTGGGAAACACACAAGTATGTCCTGTAAAGGGTTTGGTATCTTGGTACACAAACACATCCAGACAGAAGGAACACATTTCTCCTCAAGGTGATTTCCAGGAATCAAGCTTGAGTTTCTTAAATCTTTAGTTTACATCTTGATTTAAATGAGCCATGCTGGTGCAGTGGTTAAAATGCAGTATTGCAGGCTAATTCTGCTCACTGCCAGGACTTCTATCCTGGCTGGGTCAAGGTTGATTCAGCTGTCCATCCTTCTGAGCTAGGTAAAATGAGGACCCAGATTGTTGGGGTCAATATGTCTGTAAACCACTTAAAGAGGGCTATAAAGCACTATGAAGCAGTATATAAATCTAACTGTTATTGCTACTTTTTTATAGAGCTTTATTCACAAAGCAAATAAAGTCATGCTTTTCTCCAGTTTGGAAATCATATGTAATAGTTATTCATTCATTTACTTATAAAAATCTTTCCTACTTTGTCCCCCTTTAAAAGAATCCCAGAGCAAGGAACATATTTTGCTTTCTTGCAGTAATTTTGACTTTGGTGCTGGATTAACACATCTCTTGTCTTTACACAATACATTGTGAGGCAGTGTGGTACAATAGTTACAATATTGATAGATAATGAATGCCAGGTTCACCCTACCCCTACTGAATGATAGCTCTCTTTGTTTCAATACAACCTACCTTAAATGACTATTTTTATGAGTGGGGAAAATAGGATGATCTATGATGATTGCAAGTTTGATTAATTAATAAAACTGATTTCTGAAATCAACTATTATCTCAGTTTGCACATTAAATTAGCCAAACAACAATGGCACAAAAGCAACCAACCATGTCTAACGATAACGAATCTTAATATGGTATTTAAATACTGGGCCTAGTTGATTAAGTATATAATATGAAAAAAAATCAGTCATTTGCAATAAATGTCCAAATTAAGAATTATAAAAATGCAAGGAGGATAACATAAAAGTTACTTACTTTCTGCCTTTCACATATGTATAGGAACCCATATAGACTTTTCTGCTTCCAACAATGTCTGCTATCTCAGGCAGCAAATTTGCAAAGATGACCTAGGCAATGGGAACCCAATTTTAATAGTTTTCCAAGATTCATATAAAATGTTTATTTTTCCACAGCAACTCAAAATGAATCAATGATTGATAAGAAATAAAGGATGGAAACTAATCAAGGAGAGAAGCAACCTAGAACTGAGGAGAAAATTCCTAACAGTGAGAACAATTAATTAGTGGAAGGACTTGCTTTCAGAAGTTGTGGGTGCTCCATCACTAGAGGCTTTCAAGAAGAGATTGGACAGCCACTTCTGTGGAATAGTGTAGGGCAGGGGTGTCAAACTCGATTTCATTGAGGACTGCATCAGAATTGTGTTTGACCTTGATGGGCATAGCCAGGGTGGGAGTGGCCAGCTCCACGTCACTCATTGAGGCTCCATGTTCAGCCATGATGGGCTCCTGCAACTCTCTGCCAACAAAAATGAAGCTCTGGAGGGCTGTGGGTGGTCCACTCAGGCTCCATTTTCAGCCGCAATGGCCTCTTGCAACCCTCTGCCAGTGAAAATGCAGCTCAGGGAGGCTGCCTCTGTTTTCACTGGCAGAGGTCTGCAGGAGTCCGTTGTGGCCAAAAACGGAGCCGGGACAGGCCACATGCAGCCTTCCTGAGCTCTGTTTTCACTGGCAGAGGCATCACAGGCTGGACCTTCACTAGAAGGATCTAACCCTAGAAGACCTCTAAGGTCCCTTCCAACTCTATTATTCTATATCAGGAAAAGTACATCTTCATTTTTTAAAAATAATAATAATGGACAATTCAGTATATTAGCCTTTTCCAACCTATTCTCTAAATGAATGAACTAGAGCTCCCAGAACTCAAACTTAGTATGACAGTTTACTTATTGAAATTTATTGTCAACCCAAATCCAGTGCAATCTGATTTAACTGTTGTCTGTGAAGTTTTGGAATGGTAACCCAAGAGATCCAGTAAACATCAGATTGGAGCAAGACAGCAGACCCAATACAGCAAAATGCACAAACTGGAAATTATTTTAATCTCAAATTATACATTAGATTTGAATCTGTTTCCTCTGGAAGGAAAAGAGCAATATGTAAATTTGAGGTTTGCACCAATTCATTTTTATAATAATAAAACATGGAATGTTTCAGCCTCAATCTCAGGGGTGGGAATCTACCGGTTCTATCCGGTTCTATAGAACCCCTTGTTAACGTTCTAAGCAGTTTAAAGAACTGGTAGTTAGAAACAATCTCCTTTTGTTTTTTTCCACCCTTATTACATTCTTAGCAAACAGCCTAGACTTCCTGTCTCCAGGGCTTTTGGCTTTCTTAAAGGGGAAGGGTTGTTTTAAGATTTTTACACTGCTGTTGGGAGGAAATCCTCCCCTGGACAATCAGCATTTTGAAGAAATAATTGAATAATGAAGCAAAGCTTTTAGTGACAGGGAACCAAGATGAGTGACATCCAGCAAGGCTTCTTGGCTAGCTAGAAAGATTGAGATTCAAACGTGAGTTTACATACCCTTTCTGAGTTTTGGTCTAAAACTTGTTTTTGGTGAAGGTTAATTCTGTGCTTGGTGATGTTTAATCCTGTGTTTATTTATTATCCCTATTCAGCTTCAACAAGCAACAGCTACTGTTGTGATTTAATTATTTGTATTGTGTTTGATTTTTTTCCTGCCTCATGGTTTCTTTTTCTATCTGGGGAGGACGTCTTCCTCACTGCTTTAGTACGATCTGGCACTGTCCTTTTGGGGTATACTTCCCAGAGGCCGGATGTTTGGCACTGCCTTTCTGGGGGCCATGTGACCTTTCCTTAAATCTGGATGATTTCCTTAGGATATCTTGTGAGGTGAGTGAGACCAGCTGGTATTTTTAAGTGTTGCAAATGGATCTAAGGATTGCTTTTCCTGGGTGTGCTTTTTCTGGAGAGTTTAAATGACCTCTCTGCTAAAGGGTTTCACTTTATGAGCAAGAGATGGCTGCTTGATAGTTATCACTGAATTTTAACTATTTTCATTCCTCAAGGTGCTCTGGAACCCTGCCTAATTTGTAACTCTGGCTTGCAGGTATTTTTAATCTAATGATTGGTATTTAGGGCAGCTTTTTGCAAGCAAAGAAGCTTTTTGTATTTTTGTACAGGTAATCCTTGACTTACAACAGTTCATTTAGTGACCATTCAAAGTTACAATGGTACTGAAAAAAGTGGCCTATGACCATTTTTCACACTTATGACTGTTGCAAAATCCCCACTGTCATGAGAGGCCAGGTGAGGAGAAGCGCCCCTTGACATGAGTGATGTTGAGTTGGCCACGCCCACCCAGTCATATGACCACCAAGCCACTCCCACCAACTAAGCCATGCCCACAGAACCGGTTGTTTAAATGCTATTTAAATGCTATTGCTATTGCTATTGATCATAGGCGCAAACTTCTAATATCTCTGATCAACTCTATTGATCACAGAGCAAGATTCCATTATTCCTGATTGTCCATAGTGAAATATTATACTATTATTGTTTAGAGTACACTTTATAAGTGACACCCCCAATTCTCCTTCTCACAATTTCACTGCTCTCACTCCCTGCTAGCAGGCTCCACCTCTCAGGCAGCTTATAGGCAACAAAAATATATGAAGTAAAGCTGACTTAAATGTTCTGTGTTCACCCAAATCCTAATATAGTTCCTTACCAGACCACCAACAATGAAGAAAAGTATGAACACACGTCCTACGGTGGTTTGGACCACGATATCTCCATATCCAACTGTAGACATAGTTACCATGATCAAATATAAGCATTCAAAGTAAGTCAAGGTTTGATGATTGCCGTTATGTATCCAGGGATCTCCAGTATTCTCCATCTGTATAATAAATAGTAGAATGTAAGAACTGAGGCCAATATAGCAAGACATTGTCATTTGCTGACACCATCCTGTAAGCTTGTAATTAAGTCATTCATAATTGTAAATTAAAAATAATTCAGACAAAAAATATTCTTATATTCAACAACTTTAACTTCTTTTGAAATTCATCTCTTGAGGCTTTTCCTGAATTAACATGATTCTCCTCCTCAGATTTTTATTTATTATATCCACTGACTATGTTGGTGCATTCTAAACTTTAACAGTTACTCAATTCACACAACATTAGATGCTCAAATAGCAAGGGTGGGATTCTCCTGGTTCTTACTGGTTCTATAGAACCCCTGGTTAACTTTCTAAGCAGTTCGGAAAACCAGTAGTTAGAAGAAATCTCCTTTTGTTTTTTTCCAGCCTTATTACATTCTTGGCAGACAGCCTAGACTTGCTGTCTCCGAAGGAGGTTTTTTTTTTTTTCTTAAAGGGGAAGGGTTGTTTTAAGTGTTTTACACTGCTGTTGGGAGGAAATACTCCCCTGCAAATATTTCTTCTTGGCTAGCTAGAAAGATTGACATTCAAACGTGAGTTTACATACCCTTTCTGAGTTTTGGTCTAAATCTGGCTTTTGGTGATGTTTAATTCTGTGTTTGGTGACGTTTAATCCTGTGTTTATTGATGGAATATTTTTCCCTATTCAGTTTTCTTTGGAAGGAAAAAAAATAATCTCTGTTCCTGAAAAGAAACTGGTTTGAGAAATCTGCTAGTTCCTGTGTCTATTTGTTCTGGTAATTGGTTTAACAAGCAACAGCTACTGTTGTGGTTTAATTATTTGTATTGTGTTTGGATTTTTTCCTGCCTCATGGTTTCTTTTTCTATCTGGGGAGGGGGTCTTCCTTCACTGCTTTAGTGGTATCTGGCACTGTCCTTTTGGGTGTACTTCCAAGAGACAGAATGCAAGCTTGGCACTGATTTTTTTATTGCCTTTCTGGGGGCATGTGACCTTTCCTTAAATCTGGATGATTTCCTTAGGATATCTTGTGAGATGAGTGAGACCAGCTGGTATCTTTAAGTGGTGCAAATGTATCTAAGGATTGCTTCTTCTGGGTGTGCTCTTTCTGGAGAGCTTAAATGACCCCTCTGCTAAAGGGTTTCACTTTATAAGCAAGAGTTGGCTGCTGATAGTTATCATTGCATTTTAATTATTTTAATTCCTCAAGGTGCTCTGGCACCCTGCCTGATTTGTAACTCTGGCTTGCAGGTATTTTTAATCTAATGATTGGTATTTAGGGCAGCTTTTTGCAAGCAAAGAAGCTTTTTGTATTTTTGTACAGGTAATCCTTGACTTATAACAGTTTAACTTCTTCATTTAGTGACCATTCAAAGTTACAATGGTACTGAAAAAAGTGACTTATGACCGTTTTTCCCACTGACGACCGTTGCAGCATCCCCACTGTCATGAGAGGCCAGGCAAGGAGAAGCGCCCCTTGACGTGAGTGATGTCAAGTTGGACACGCCCACCCAGTCACATGACCATCAAGGCACACCCACCAATTAAGCCATGCGCACAGAATCGGTTGTTAAAAAATTTGAATCCCACCCCTGTCAAATGGGTAAACTATAATTTAAGGAGATGTTCACTCAACATGCTAAATACAGTGACTAGTTCCTGGACTTATATGTCACAGATCATTCTCATGAAGTCTGTGTTAACTTTCTTTTATTAGACAAGAAAACTTGGTTACATATAATAAAATTGGGTTTATCTACAGTATACTGAATCATTTGTTGTTAGTTGTGAAGTATTGTCCAACCCCTGGTGACCCCATGGACAACTGTCCTCCAGGCCTTCCTGTCCTTTCCTATTCCCCGGAGTGCATTTAAGCTCACACTGACTGCTTCAGTGACTCCATCCAGCCACCTCATTCTCTGTCTTCCCCGTCTTCTTTTGCCCTCAATGTTCACCAGTGACTCCTTCCTTCTCATTAGCTGGCTAAAGTATTTGAATTTCATCTCCAGGATCTGTCTTCTAAAGAGCAGTCAGGGTTGATCTCCTCTAGGACCAACTGGTTGGATCAGCTTGCAGTCCAAGGGATTCTCAGGAGTCTTTCCCAGCATCATAGTTCAAAGGCCTCAATTCTTTGGTGCTCAGATTTTCTTATGGTCCAAATTTCACAGCCACACATTGCAACTGGGAAAACCATAGCCTTGACTATACGGACTTTTGTTGGCAGGGTGTTGTCTCTTCTTTTTAGTATGCTGTCTAGATTTGCCATAGCTTTCCTCCCCAGGAGCAGGTGTCTTTTAATTTCTTGGCTGTATTTGATGTCAGATCCGTGTATCTGTCATTTCTTTAATGGAAGGAGAAAAGTGGGGTGGAGACTGATAAAGAAATCCTTCTTGATGTAACCTGAATACATTTAATCTTATATCGAATTTGTATAACCTACACATGATACAATGGAGGGATGAAACCCAGATGGCCGGAACCTATCACCTCTGGGAGAGACAGCCAGGGGATGAAAAGACCATAAAAATTCCACAGTGAGATGTGTCCTGGGAAACCCTGAAAAAGATCATTCTAAAAAGGGGGTGGGAGGGAATTAACATGTTGGCTCTTTGTTGACTCTCTTTCTCCCTTGCCTTTCACTTGCCTTCTTTCCTCATCAAGATAAGGGGAGGAATTTTAAACTCCCTTATCTATCTCTGCATGCCTGAGAGACCTTAGATGCTGCTTTTAACGAATGAATTATCTCATCTAGATAAAGGATTCCTTCTGATATGTTTTGACATGTTTTCAGAAGTTCATTCTAGTTGATTGAATGGGAAAAGTTCTGTAGCCTGTCATAAAGCAGTGTCTAACTTTAACATCCCCAAGGTGTACCAGGATCTGGCCCAAGCATTTAGTGAGGAAGATTGTGATGAACTCCCACCCCATGGTGCCACAGACTGTGCTACTGAAATCCTACCAGAGGCTAAACTCCCCAAACCACAAATGTACTGCATGTCTCCCAGAGAACTAAAAGAACTCAGAACATTTATCGATAAAAAATTAAAAAGGGGCTTCATCGAACCCACCTGACCAAAAATAGCTGCCCCATTGTTATTCTATGAAAAGAAAGATGGCTCCAAACATTTGTGTGTTAATTACAAAAAATTAAACACGATTTGCATAGAAAATATGTATCCACTCCCCCTCATGAAGGACATGTTAGCCCACCTCTCGAAAGGATTTTTTTTTCAAAGTTAGACCTACGAGAGGCATATTACCGCATCAGAATAAAGGAAGGGGATGAGTGGAAGACAGCTTTTAACACACCATTGGGATGCTACCAATTTAAAGTGCTCCCTTTTGGACTGCAAGGAGCACCTGCCGTGTTTATGCAATTGATCAATGAAACCCTTCATGAATTTTTATATAAAGGGGTTCTAGTGTATCTTGATGATATTTTAATCTACACAGAAATAATGGAAGAACACATCAAGCTACTCCGTGCAGTCCTCACAAAACTCTTAGACGCTAAACTATACGCAAAACTCTCTAAATGCGAATTCCACCAAGAAAAAAATTGACTACTTGGGGTATAGAATATCCTACAAGAGAATAGAGATGGACCCACAGAAAGTAAAAGCTGTCATGGACTGGGACCCACCTCATACCCGCAAGCAACTGCAAAGCTTCCTGGGGTTTGCAAACTTTTATCGCCAGTTCATTCCATCTTTTGCAAACATCGCCCTCCCTATCACAAACTTGATAAAAACGAAGGGGGGGGACCCAAACCAAGGCAACCCCTTATCTGGACAATGGAATGCCAAGTGGCATTCAAAAAACTCAAATGTCTATTCTCAGCAGAATCAGTCCTTAAGCATCCAGATCCCAAACAACCTTTTGTCATCCAAGCAGATGCTAGTGATGTTGCAGTTGGAGCAGTCCTCCCCCAAAAGAATGGAAATGGACAATTACAACCATGCGCTTATACATCTAAAAAACTGACAGAAACCAAGCAAAGATGGGCCATATGGGAGAAAGAGGCATATTCCGTGCAGTGGGCAATGCTCACATGGAGACATTTTCTGGAAGGAAACCAAATCCCCTTTGAAGTATGAACTGATCACAAAAATCTGGAAGCCCTGAGAAATCCAAGGAAACTCTCTGAAAAACAAGCAAGGTGGGCTCAATATTTAAAACCAGTGGTCGCCAACGAGTAGGCCGCAGCCCACTGGTGGGCCGTGAGAAAATTTTGGTGGGCCGTAGAGAAATCTCACCCCCAGACCACCCCCCAAAGCAATTAATCCAGGCTGTGCAGAAACACAAGGCTGCACCACCCCGGGAACCCTCCCCGCCCACTCACTCCTTACCCGGCAAACTTGCCTGCTATGTTTCCTTTTTCTGACCATCATCTGTTCTGCTGTGTTGGGAGATTTAGATTAGCTAGGAAGCAGGAAATGGTTGGATTTCTTGCTTTCTAGCTAGTCTTTAGATCTTCAGCTCAGCACAGCCAAACCTCCCTTAGGACTGAAGGTTTGCTTGCAAGCAAATTCAGTGCAGATTCACGGAAAGCAAATTTGAGAGACTGAGCTAACCGATGGCAGATAGATAGATCACTGAATGAGTCTGTGAGCAACTCAATCTGCCTGCTTTGCCTAATTTTGGGTAAAAGTTGCTCTTTTTTTATGATGTGTTGTGAGTTAATTTTGTGAGTTTGCTTGCTAGCAAATTTTATGAGTTTGCTTGCAAGCAAATTTTATGTGACAGACTGAGCTAGCCAATGGCAGAACCCCAGATATGAAACCAAGGCTGAAATCATTACCCAGGGCATGACCGGAACAAGACCCCAGACATGCCACCAACGCATCCCAGAAGGCCCTTCAGGCTGCAGAAGTCGCTCTCCATCCAGCCAAAGGGGGAAGAACCCCAGACAACAATGACCAGTCACCGGATTCTTATGACAGCAAGGATGAAGGCTCCCAAAATGATAGATGCAATCATACTGGGACTTTCCTGG